AAAGGGGCGGAAAATTTTGGCCGAGTTAGGCCAAAACCGACTTATCGCGTGACCGACTTATCGAGTTTATATATGTACTTCTTGAAGTATTACAAACAACATGACTGTTTACATGATTTTGTCCAATAAAATATAATAAATAGAATGATTAATAATGAACGACTAATATTAATTATTAATGTTAAATGCCAAAATGCATCATTGATGATGATGACATGATATACAATGAATAATTGGGATTTAATTTCATCTCTGTTTTTCATAACTGAAAAATTACAAAATAAAAGTGAGTTTGTATAATTAATGATAAAATAATGAAAATTTTTGATTAACCATAAAGAAGTGACTCGCCTTAAGCCATATGCATCATTATTTGACTCATTTTGCTTTTTTTGTCCTATTCATGGCATGTCGAAGACATAATTAAACTGACCGAATATTTTTCCTTTTATTTTCATTTTATTTTTTTTTTGTACAAATTTTCCATTTGCACAGGATGATGAATTTGCATAATATTGCATAATCAAGTAGAATTGCCAAATAATCAAAATTTAAAATTTAAAACATCAAAAATGGTTGCATAATCACATAATTGTTGCATACTGTAAAGTCTGGAAAGACAGCACCCATGTAATGTTGTATGACAAAATGTTTTTGAATTGAGAAACTATTTTATCAAATGCATTAAAAAATGACAAAAGACCCAAACCCTTGACAAAAGTCAAAACCCTTGATTCAATTCCCAAAATCTCAATTTTTAATCGCATCTGACTCAATTATTTATATTTTTCATATGACTCAATTAAATTGCATCAAAAAGTCACCTGATTGAATCAAGTGATCAATCTATTTCTAGCACATATATAATTTGAGAAAAATGATTCAACACAATGACACTGAGGGATTTTGGGACATTGTGTGGCTGACTCTCTAGAAGCTTAAAACCTGACCTGACTTTGTTATGTAGGTGCAATTCATTTTTTGCTTGTTATTATGATAAGTCTATGCAATCTATTACAATAATTCAAACCCCTCGCTTCCTCCTAATACTAAGCAAAAAAAGTATGCCAACTAGAGAGGATGAGGGCGAAATTATGAATGTCATAACTTTGATCATGCGATTTACTACGCCACTTCCGAATGATTTTTTTAGCATAGTAATAGTAATAGATAGCAATGCATTGGAATTAATATATTGATACAAAATGACCAATTAAAGCAACATCATATCTGGACAATTTGTGAAAGGATATTTTTGAAAACCTAATCATATGCCCTGGGAAGGGTAATAAACCTAGATAGTAGTGGTAGGACACTTAGATAGAATCTCGGCACCTCAATCTGATGAGATTAAATTTATCCATGGGAAATTGGTTCAAGATCCTGATTCAATGTTGACTTCGATTCAAACTGAAGATGTGTAGCAAAATTTAATGAAGAACCACTCAAGCATCGATTTCTCCATGGAGAGAATCAGTTGGAGGCTCATAGTTATGGATTAGAATTTCCATTAGATGAGTTGATAGCAAGAATAAAATGATTTATAATCTTCTTTGATGTATTTGAATATGTTGGGTAAAACTTCAAGTGGTAAAATTTATCATTTTTTATTATTATTATTGAAAAAAAAATTTTAAATTTTCGATTTATATATATAAATAGTAATAACCAATGATGATTGATGATGAATGAACATTACAAAAAAAATTTTCAACTTTTTGAAAGTATTTATTATGAACCTTCAAAAAAAGAATTTGCATATCTTGAAGGGCATTTTAAAAGACTTTTAAACTCTGTTGAGTTTTTTTCAAATAATCCAGAATTCTTGGAGAATAATTTTATAAAATGTTTAACAAAATTACAAAATATCAACATCAACGATCATTTTGAAAATTTATTGCTTGATGCTATCAAAGAACACAGCAAGCTTGGAGAAAATGTTAAACAAATTGTAAAACTATGTGTTGATAAAGATGGAGAGTTTTCTTTTTTTTTTAGAAAATTTGAACCAATTATTGCTGGTAAATGAGTATATTTCTTTTTGATTTGAATTGAGAAATTTCCAAGAAATTAATTATTGATTAATTATAGAGCCTGTGAAAATAATTTTAGACAACCAACAATCAGTTTCATCAGACAACATTTTTTTATATCATAAAACAACAAATCGTGATATTTATAATGAAGCACGCAATCGTAGACTTTTAAATAATAATAAATGTGGCAATTTATTTGATGTACTTTTATATAATGAGAAAAAGCAAATCACTGAATGTACTATTACCAATATTGCTGTTGAATTTTATATTAACAATGAACAAAAAAGCATTTGGAAAACTCCAAAGATTGAATGTGGGTTATTGCCAGGAGTGCTACGAGATTATTTAATAAAAAATAATGAATTGATTCCTGACATAATTACAATTGATGATATAAAATTAGCTCAAAAGGTAATCTAGTACTTTTTTTCAAATGGTAACATTATAGTTATTATATTATTAATATTATGTGATGAATATTTATAGGAAAATAGAAAAATCAAATGTTTTAATTCTGTACGAGGAGAATTTCAAGCAATTATTATTATTGAATAAAAAACAAGGTTCATTATAAATCAAGAAAATGTATGAGATTACATTTAGTGACTGCTGTTTACTCAATGTAATATGACATTAACTCCTTTTACTGTCAGATTTAATAAAATATCTTTTCATTTCATGCAAATGCTTGGGGTTTGTGAAGCAATGGGAGAATATTGCTTGGATCCAAAACCCTAATGCTCCAAACAAAACAAAATGAAACAAATTTTGAGTGATTCAATTCGATTCAAATCAAAAAAAAAACTGAATTTGATACAATTTAATTCGATTTGTGAGTCAATTCAATTCAAACCAGATTCCTAAATTTTTTTTTAATGTCATATTGTTAATTTGATAATTTAAATTTACATTACACAGTGAATCTCAATCCATTGTATCTCAATTTAATACTAATGGAAGAATTGCTTTCCCAATATAATGGATTTCTTGATATTAATATATTTTGAAAAAAAATTTCTAATTTCCTAAACTATCTGCTAACCAAGGTTGTGTGTATTTTTAAATTTAAAATTTTTTAATTGATAAAAGGTATTATTTAGTGATGGTGGCCAAAACTCTCAACCTGGAGACTTTATTGATGTAGTTTAATTGTCATATAAAAAACACAAATGACTGGGTCCAGATGCAATTAAAAATTGAACCAAATTAATTTTGACCAATATGTATAGCCAAAATTATTTTTGAAAAAAAGGCAGTTTCACCCAATACTATGCTCAATATTTTTTATAATAACAAACACATATATAATGAGTATCTAAATCAATCTACTTAAATTAGTTTGCCCAAGTTTGGACCAGTTGATTTTGGCAATTTCACCTCAATAGGTAAGGTAGTTTCAACCACCATCACTAATGTTATTGATAACAATAATGATAATGTAATGACAAATAAAAAAGTAATGCGATTTACAGTTGCATAACTCATTACTGCATTAATTAAAATCAAAATTCAGATTTGATTCAATCAGGTGATTTGATTTGATTTGAACCGGTTATTCATTCAGAGCCTTACAAGGCCCTTGACTAAAAGTAAAGAATAGGTACTTCTATTCTTTGGTTGCACCAATAGTATATTTCTCAAAGTATTGCATATTTTTGTGGACCGAATGAATCATCCAAGCTAAATCACAAAGCCACCACCACATCCACCAGAGTATGACGATTATGGCCCTTTTGAATTCTGCAACTTCCTAAGCAAACTTGTGACAAGTAGCTCAGATAATCCACCTATCAACACAAAAGCAATAATTTAAAGCCAAGAAACTGAACAAAGGACTTACTCCCAGAACTGTGAACTCTTTCAATTCTTCATAAACAGGCTCTTTAATAATGGAGAAAACTGCAATTCAGAATTTCAGGCCCTTCTTGATGATTTGCTGGAATTTCTTTTATGTAAGATGCAAAATGAAATGTTATGTGTTTCGGGGTGTCCCAAACCCTCAAGCAAAACACTCACTCTAACCTTCACAAATAAATCATATCAGATCATCCCATCATTTATTTTTTACATCTTACATATTATATTGGATCATCCCATCATTTGATCCAAACAACCTTTTTTAACCCATTTTTGGGAAGTTGAACAAGTGCCAACCACAC